ACTGACGTCTGTAGCCATGAAGTGCTTTGAAAGGCTGGTCATGGCTCACATCAACAGCATTATCCCAGAAACCCTAGACCCACTCCAATTTGCATACCGCCCCAACAGATCCACAGATGATGCAATCTCTATTGCACTCCACACTGCCCTTTCCCACCTGGACAAGAGGAACACCTACGTGAGAATGCTATTCATTGACTACAGCTCAGCATTCAACACCATAATGCCCTCAAAGCTCATCACTAAGCTAAGGATCCTGGGACTAAACACCTCCCTCTTCTACTGGATCCTGGACTTCCTGACGGGCCGCCCCCAAGTGGTAAGGGTAGGTAACAACAAATCTGCCACACTGATCCTCAACACGGGGGCCCCTCAGGGGTGCGTGCTCAGTCCCCTCCTGTACTCTCTGTTCACCCATGACTGCATGGCCAGGCACGACTCCAACACCATCATTAAGTTTGCCGACGACACAACAGTGGTAGGCCTGATCACCGACAACGATGAGACAGCCTATAGGGAGGAGGTCAGAGACCTGGCCGTGTGGTGCCAGGACAACAACCTCTCCCTCAACGTGACCAAGACAAAGGAGATGATTGTGGACTACAGGAAAAAAAAGAGGACTGAGCACGCCCCCATTCTCATCGACGGGGCTGTAGTGGAACAGGTTGAGAGCTTCAAGTTCCTTGGTGTCCACATCACCAACGAACTATCATGGTCCAAACACACCAAGACAGTCGTGAAGAGGGCACGACAAAGCCTATTCCCCCTCAGGAGACTGAAAAGATTTGGCATGGGTCCTCAGATCCTCAAAAAATTATACAGCTGCACCATCGAGAGCATCCTGACTGGTTGCATCACCGCCTGGTATGGCAACTGCTTGGTCTCCGACCGCAAGGCACTACAGAGGGTAGTGCGTACGGCCCAGTACATCACTGGGGCCAAGCTTCCTGCCATCCAGGACCTCTATACCAGGCGGTGTCAGAGGAAAGCCCTCAAAATTGTCAAAGACTCCAGCCACCCTAGTCATAGACTGTTCTCTCTGCTACCGCACGGCAAGCGGTACCGGAGTGCCAAGTCTAGGTCCAAAAGACTTCTCAACAGCTTCTACCCTCAAGCCATAAGACTCCTGAACAGCTAATCATGGCTACCCGGACTATTTGCACTGCCCCCCCCCCCCCCCCCCCCCCATCCTTTTACACTGCTGCTACTCTGTTAATTATTTATGCATAGTCACTTTAACTCTGCCCACATGTACATATTACTTAAACTACCTCAACTAGCCGGTGCCCCCGCACATTGACTCTGCACCGGTACCCCCCTGTATATATAGCCTCCCTACTGTTATTTTATTTTACCTCTGCTCTTTTTTTCTCAACACTTTTTTTGTTGTTGTTTTATTTTTACTTTTTTGTTAAAAATAAATGCACTGTTGGTTAAGGGCTGTAAGTAAGCATTTCACTGTAATGTCCGCACCTGTTGTATTCGGCGCATGTGGCCAATAAAATTTGATTTTATTTTATTTGATCCCCCTGTCATGGCCTGGTGCAGTGACCTCTCAGTCACTCAGGACAAATAAACAAGTGTTTCTGGGCAAGCCAATCTATATGGAGCGGCAGGTAGCCTAGCGGCTAACATTGGGCCAGTAACTGAAAGGTTGTTGGTTTGAATCCCCAAGGTGAAAAATCTATAAATATGTCCTTGAGCAAGACACTTAACCCTAGTTGCTCTGAATAAGAGCGTCTGCTAAATGACTAAAATGTACGAAATCTCTCCACTGATGGAGTCAGAAGGGGACGATGGCAAGAGCAGAAAAAATGTCAAGAAAAACTAAAGTATTATGGCAATGAAATAAAAGCATGTTGGTTTAAATGGTTGAAACCAGGCTGTACTTTTCCGTTCTACTCCTAAATCTATCTCAGTCACCCTGGATGGGTCATTGGTGAGTGGTGAATGTGTGTCTGAACAACATTTTTTACACACACGTGTGACTCTTCCTCACGCCTCCTTATGGCTGATAATGCATTGCTTTCATATAGAATACACTGTAGCACAGGGAGCTTATTAGGACATGGTGCTAGAAAGGCTTGATATGTCTGAGTTATCTCGATGAGTGTTGAAGTGTACAGTACCATTAACCATCTTTACAGCTTTGACTTTTGGCAAATATTGCATAATACATCATTACATTGTGCTGCGATACCATTACTGTCTCTACTACCTCCACTCTTTTATTTCAGGCTCAATAAAAGGGTGGCGAAGCCCCTCACCCGGTCCTCAGTGGTGTCAGAAGGACTCTTCTCTTATAGAGAAGTACAGAGCTCCCTTGAGGAGGGGGTCTAAGAACGAAGAAGATGCCACTTTAAAGAGGTAACACGAGATCTAAAAAAAAACTTTTACAAAAACATCTGGGGACTTTTCAGGCTAATTCCTGAGCACCCTCCCTCCCCTTCACTGTACCTCTTACCCCCCCTCACTGTACCAGGCCATACAGGTCCCCCCCCGGACCCCCGTTCCACTTTCTCCCTAAGTGTCAACGTTTAGCATGACAATTCCCTCCCAAGTCCATGGCACAGGACAATGCCTGTATCTGGAGTTTGATGTCTTTTAAGCCTTTCACTGGCTCCTGTTGCCTCCAAGGTCCCCTCTCCCTGGCTTTGTAATAGGGAGAGATGGGGAGAGCAAGAGAGCACCACTCTCCTGGTTCAATCAGCTGGGTCAGTTTGTTTGAAGGCGGACAGGTTTGATAGAGAAGGGGCACAATCATCTGGGAGTATTGAGTGGGGTAGGGGTTTAGAAATGGAAACAAAAATGATGACAATACATGCCATAACTGCCATAACTCTCATGTAACATCAACCACCCACACCATAAAATAAGTCACTCTCTGGACTGTGGCTTGAGTGAAACCTTGGAGAGTGTTTGTTTCAGGGTAGGGGGTGGGTGTGTGGGGGGCGGAATCAAAGGGTTGCGACTTATTGTTCGTGTCTGTAAAGAAGCTAATGGTCGCGCCATCGCTACTCGGGGTCTGAAAGCCACGGGGTGCCTCCGGGCCAAGTCGCACAATGACACCCCCCACTCCTTCCCGCAGCGCGTCTTCCTGCCACAATCTGTACCAACGACTCGCTCTGTATCCGTGCGACGGCAATCCACTATTTTCAGTACACCCATCAAGGCTATAGTATAAGTTCACCTGGATGCTTTTAGTTGTTTTATGAATTTCCTCTGCGTTTACTTGATTTTCTATAGGTAAAAATTCGCTTTTGTGTGTAAAGTCATCACTCTTCGGGGAAGTTCAACCATTATGTGCATCAGTCGTTTAGAGTTAATTGTCTACTTTGAAATGTCGTAAGACTGCTTCTAATTTATAGACTAACTGACCTTTTTTACATTTACGTCATTTAGCAGACGCTCTTATCCAGAGCTACTTACAGTTAGTGAATGCATAAATGTTTCATACTGGTCCCCCGTGGGAATCGAACCCACAACTCTGGCGTTGCAAGCGCCATACCCTACCAACTGAGCTACACGGGACTTTTCCATTCTGACCATTCTCAGTTTATCTCAGATATCCATGTAATTTCGCCATCACATTATAGGCCTTGTCTCTCAGCCAAAAGGATGGTCCAGAGATTGTAAAATGAGACAAAATATGAATCAAATGATTTATCAGTTAACTTCACTAGGCCTATATCAAAGACGAACATATAACGCGTGTGAGTCACATAAGGCCAGTGTGTTGTGTGCAGAACCCTAATATATAGATTTTATATTGACATTTTAATTCAGAACCATGTAAAACTCAGCAAGTGAAAATAGAGAGGCCTATGCTATTTTGAGATTTTGATCGAATGGGATTCCTAATTTAGACTAGTAAAATAGTTAACCAATGGCTAATAAGCAACCGGACTATCTGCATTTACCCTTTTGACTCAGCACATACGCTGCTGTTACTGTTTAACATCCTGTTGCCTAGTCATCCTTACTCATTATGTATTTATTCCTCCTGTTATAATTTTTCTATAATTTCTCTTTTTTTCTCTCTCTGCATTGTTGGGAAGCGCCCGTAAATAAGCCTTTCACTGTTGTTTACGAAGCATGTGACAAATACAAATTATTGTATTTTATTTGAATTATTTTGCACAAAATTGTATTTTTAGGTTATAGACTAAGAAAAATGCATATAGGCCTACTCATCTTTATTGCGCTATATTCTAATATAAAAATGGATAAGTTAAGAATGAAAATTGAGCATGATCAGTAAGGTTGCCAAAATGTTATTGTTTATTTTATCATAATTTGGCCTATACATTATTTCTGCTTTTTAAATGTATCTGGTTGCATGTATATCAAGGAAAGGTCGTTAAGGTAAATTATTTAAACAAAGTCCACACTGCTCCATGCATATTAGATACTTTAGTTATGGTCACTGAATATGTATTTATCCTACTGATTAGTAATGTAAATATACTAAATGGATCAACATTGAATCCGTGAATTATATATAGCCAAACTTTTTCCAAGATAATTTCCTTTAATTGCTTACAGGAGTTTTGCATACCTGAGCTTAAGTTATTTTAATTTTATCTCAGGAAGAGGAATAGCCTATATATCTTTTTTTCAGACTCCAAAGTTTCCAATGGGAAAGCACGCCCACTATTTTAACGCGATGAATGAAAAAAAAAATCAAGTTCATTCAAAATCTACCATCAGCTGTGCGTGATTGTCTCTCGCAGCCAATAGGAGGCGAGGCAATTAACATTCCAAACTCCAGAACCAGTTGATTTTTTAAAAAAAACCTGTGGAGCTGGGGTGTTTGTTGTGAGACAGGCATTTGAGCTTGAAGGTGAAGTAGGTGGTGGTGAACTCGAAATTCAATGGACTACAGTTGATGGGTATCAAGCACATAATCAACAAATGCTTGCATTTCTGAAAAGGTTTGTTTCGAAACGGCAAGCGTCATTGCATATCGTGCCTGAACTTTGACGATCAAACCAAGGAGAATGTCGGAGCGATCCCAGAGCCCTACTTTAGAGTGCAACAGCCGGCCTGATGACTTCAGCCGGGCCATGTACGCCCAGGCCTTGAGTCAAGAGGGGTTTGGAGGCGCGTCGCTCCAGATACCACACGGCGTTCTACAACACCATAGTCTTCTCTTCAACAAGACCGCATACAACGGGATGCCTCCGACAACAGCTCAACCCTTTTTCCCGTTCCAACCGGGCAGTGGTGACTATAGGGCCTCCGACTTGCAAGCCGGTGATTTTTGCCAACCCAAACACTGGTATCCCATCGCCGCTGCCGAGTACACCGGCCAAGTACCGGGGGTCGCAGCGGCTACCCAGCCCACAAACCTGAGCCCACCAAACACCGAAACCAGGGAACAAATCAAGATGCCCGAAATAAAGATGGAGAAGGATGTCAATGACGAGTATGAGCAAAAGATCCAACACTATCCAACTCCAACTTCGTCCGCTGTAGCTCACGGGGTTTACTACTCGACTCCATGGAACCCATCATTTTGGCCCGGCTTTCCCCACATCACGGCTGCGAGTACCAATACTCAAAACCTCAACTCCATACCCTCAACATCGTCTTCATCGTCCCCATCTCTCTCGCCCTCACCCCCCAGTAATGGGGTACCCGGGGTCACGTTCTTCAATGGGAGCGCAAGCCAAACTGCCCAAACACCCCAGGCGCAAACCTCTACCCGGAGCAGTGGCTCCTCCAGCGGCGGGTGCAGTGACTCGGAGGAAGAGGTGAGTCTGAAAATGGGCCTATGTACTGTTATCCCATGGTCATTGTCAGTGGTGTAAAGTACTTAAGTAAAAATACTTTAAAGTAGTACTTAAGTCGTTTTTGGGGGGTATCTGTACTTTCACTTTAATATTTTATATTTTTGACGTTTCCTTCACTACATTACCAAAATAAATAATGTGCTTTTTACTCCATACATTTTCCCTGACACCCAAAAGTTCTCATTACATTTTGAATACTTAGCAGGACAGGAACATTTTCTAATTCACACACTTATCAAGAGAACATTCCTGGTCATCCCTACTGCCTCTGATCTGGCAGACTCACTAAGCAAGAAAATGGTGATGTTTGCTTTAATATGGAATTTGAAATGATTTATACTTTAACTTTTGATACCTAAGTATATTTAAAACCAAATACTTTTTACTCAAGTAGGATATTACTGAGTGATTTTCACTTGAGTCATTTTCTAATAAGGTTTACTCAAGTATGACAACTAAGTACTTTCTCCACCACTGGTCATTGTACATTTACATTTTAGTCATTTAGCAGACGCTCTTATCCAGAGCGACTTACAGGAGCAATTAGGGTTAAGTGCCTTGCTTAAGGGCACATCGACAGATTTTTCACCTAGTCGGCTCGGGGATTAGAACCAGCGACCTTTCGGTTACTGGCACAACGCTCTTACCCACTAAGCTACCTGCCGCTACCTGTACTATTATGCATTTAACCTCCAAGTTGTCTTTTCATTCAAAAAAGAGTGTTGATGGTGTGAAATGTTTTCTAATGTGGTTAGTACATTTTGCCTCTAACAGGAGAACCTTTCAACTGAGGAACTGGAACAGTTTGCCAAGGAGCTGAAGCACACTCGTATAACCCTGGGTTTCACACAAGCAGATGTAGGCCTGGCCCTAGGCAACCTTTATGGTGAGTTTTCCTGCTGTGTTGAATACTTTCCATACATAACCTTTCCCCTCTGTGCCATTGAGTTGGTGTATGTGAAGGATGCATTTATTTGGCCTCTGAACTTGCTGAGTGTCTCATTAAATTTACTTGACACATTCTCTGAGGAAACCATTGGCTATTGAGGCAATGTTCCTGTCATACACTGCACCCACTGTAGTTGCAGTGACTTCAACTACTGATGACCACTTGTTCTGTTTAGGCAAGATGTTCAGCCAGACTACAATCTGCCGCTTTGAAGCCCTCCAGCTCAGCTTCAAGAACATGTGCAAGCTGAAGCCCCTGCTCCGGAGATGGCTGAATGAGGCTGAGACCTCGGACAACCCCCAGGATGTGAGTATTATAATCTCCCTCTTTATTATCATATATGTTGGTTGTAGTTTAGAAACCCATCTGGTCAAGAGCGGGGTCAGGTTTGCTGAGTCTAGAATGACATCTTGTGGATAGAAAAGCCATACATTTCCATGAGCAACCAAGGTGATATTTATTAGAGAATGTTCACCATTAAATGTTAGCTATTCAGCTTTTGCGTTTTGTTATTTAAGGGGAGGTTCTTTTGAGGGGAACCATGGTATTAAGTCCTCTGGAATGGACCAAAGCACACTGCAATGTCCCAGTCTAAATGTAAGTGCATGTTTGTCACCAGATGTACAAGATCGAGCGGGTATTTGTGGACACCAGGAAGAGGAAGCGGAGGACCAGTCTGGAGGGGTCGGTGCGCACGGCTCTGGAGTCTTACTTTGTCAAGTGCCCCAAACCGAACACCCAGGAGATCACACACATTGCTGATGACCTGTGTCTGGAGAGAGACGTGAGTCCCATACAGCTGCCCATCACGTCCTGTCACTTACTGCCCTTCCTCAACCCTGCATGGCCTTTAAGTTCCTCTTAGATGACATGGAGCCTAAATACATTTATGGCAAATGCCGTCTTGCTTGTGTTGCCATGGTTTGAATCTTAGTGCTGTTTATGTTAACTTCTGACCCTGTCAGGTTCTGTATTTTATAATATAGGAAGTGTGGAAATACGTTTTGGTCAGCAGGTGACTTATGTTGTGTTTGGCAGGTGGTGCGTGTGTGGTTCTGTAACCGCAGACAGAAGGGCAAGCGCCTGGCCCTCCCCTTCGATGAGTGTGAAGGACAGTACTATGAGCAGAGCCCCCCTCCCCCACACACGGCTCACTCCCCCCTCCCTGGGCAGGGGTACTCTCTCTCCGGCCACCCCGGTGGCCCCACCTTCTACATGCCCCCCCTCCAGAGGCCAGATGTCTTTAAGCAGGCCCTGCACCCTGGACTGGTGGGTCACCTGACAAGTTAAACGTGTTCTAGTTCTCCAAACCAGACCTGGCCATGTGGCCACCTCTTCACTTCCCCACCCAACATGGCTACCTCTCTTCAGTCCTCCAGTCCCTACCCACCCAGGCTGTTGTCCTCCATATGCAGTTCTACTACACCCTAGTCCCTCTGGAACATGGAGAGAAAGTCAAGTGAGCGGGGGCTTGTAGGCCAGTAAAGAAATGGGTAAAAGCTGGAACTTCCTGGTGTCTTTGTAAGGCCAGGGAATCTTGACACTGCCGTTTGTCTCTTTACCCTACATGCTCCATGTTGACTTTTCATCGGTTGTGCCTTGCCTCCCACTCAGTTCAGCTGCAAGTCATCTGCACAGCACTGAACTGTTGATGCTCCAGCCAGCATCATGACAATTTAAGGGACGGGGAAGGGTGGTACGTTGGATCTGAATCCGTTATGAGGTGATGGCTTTGCACAAAGTTGTGGTTTTGAGTGACTTTTTTTATTATATTTTTACAATTATTTCTTTATCTTGAATATCTTTCTGCCATCTTATTGTTGCAGTTCCTCCAGCGGTTAGATATTTTCAGATGACAGTTGTCTTATCTAGAGATTCTTTGTCGTCTTGTTCAGAAGGAATACGCTCATGGTGGAAGTTTGCCACAAAAACAGTAGTTGTCTTGCTGAGAATTCTGGTATGTTTGGTTACCCATGAATGTATTTTTGTCGCACACTTTGACTAATTTTATTATTTTAATACTGGAACTGTAGTTAATGTTGGGACAAACTGCAGGATGTGTCTGTCGAGTGGGGCATTGAGTACTGCCCCTCAACCAGTGTTTCTTGGAAACGTGATCATCAGGGGCCGAAATAGTAACTGTTCTCTGTTTACTTCCCCAATCCTATAATTAGTTTTGATCTGGCCTTTCTAAAATGACCATGCCGTCACAATCTTGTGCCTTATTGTGTAGTTGAAGTAATTTCCTCTTATGTGACTCCGATCTCTTGATGTTTTTACGCAATCCCATGTTTATAAATGAAAGCATATTTTATTGAAACTGGCTATTTCTCTGGGGCAACCTATAGATGTTACCTGTGCCTTTTTTCCTCCACGCAATTAAATTATCTTTATTTTCCATTCCAACCTGTAGTTACAATTATTCCAAGTTGACAATTGACCTTCTGTACTTTGGTTCTTGTGATCAAGGTTTTTACATTGTGGGTGTTATGATGCTTAGTGAAAGCCTTGCAATAAGTTATCAATGTCATATCCACACATTATACACAAGTGTTATTGTTTGGATTGCTATATTCCCTTTTCCTATTAAAACTCCTGCACTGAATATAGTTCGGTACTTTAACACAATGTAACACATTGCTTCGGTCCAATGCAGCGGTTTTATCTCAATACCAAATAATTTCTGAGTAATGATTAAGTACCTTACTGTGTTTTCAATTAAAATGGTCAACAACGAGCAAATTCTCAAGCAAGAATGTTGCTGGGAGTGGTCTGAATGGGGAAGTGGAAGTTAAAACACTAGCGGTTATTTGCAGAGTGTGGAAATCTAAAACACACAGTCCTGTGACCCCAAACGTGTTGTTTACTGACTCATTGAAACATCTCCATGTATGTGAAAAGCACTGGCAATAGAGGACCAACTCTTGAAGCTGTAAATTTTTACAAGGTGGTGTACTTATGGGCCTTGTTCAAAAGTAGTGAACTGTAGGGACTAGGATCCCATTTGGGATGCAGAAAGTATTTGAGGATCTCAGTGGGCATGGTGTCACCTGACCCATGCCTCCAGGTCATAGTACACCTTCTGAGCAGGCAGGATGTGATACTGGGGGCAGATGCTACACAGCCTCTCCCTCCAGTCTGTGTACACTTTCACCCGATGGCTACGCCGCCACGCAAAGTACCCAGCATATCTCTCCTTGTCCAGCATTAGCTGGCGGAGATAGTTCCCCAGCTCCTTAGTGGATGGAAAGTCCTCAATGTGGATGAAGGAGTTGGGTGGGGCCACAGCCATGTAGTCATCTGGAGGCGGACCCAGAACCACAGGCACCGCCCCTGCCTGGTAAGCATTCCGCCAGAGTTTCTCTGTGATGTAATCCTTGGATATGGAGTTCTCAAAGGCCAGGTAGAAGTAGCAGTGTGAGATGGTGTACAGCAGGTCGCCGGGGGCCAGTACTCTCCCGTTCAATCGCCCATATACCTCCACTGGGATGCTTCTGCTTAGGCTCTCGTACACCAAGCTCCTCCTGTGCTGGGGCTCATAGTGACTAACCACCCAGCAGGCCAGAAGGGACTTATCTTTAGGAATGACGTCCTCTGTGCTATCATTACCAGTATCTCCGTCCTTCGGCAGCAGCGTTCCATACGGTATGGTGATATCGGCATCGCGGCGGTAGGACATGGTCCAGTTGAACATGTTATTGAAGGGCTTCAGGTCTCCACTGTTGTCAGGGGACTCCAGGGAGAGCCAGACCCACTTCTGGTGCCTCGGCCTGGGGAGATGGAGCGGCAGCCGCTCCTGGCCCATCATCAGCTCTCTGTGGTGAAAGACCACCAGGTCAGCGCTGGGGTAGAGGGCGCGTTGGTCCACCAGGCGGCAGCCAGGAATACGGTACCTGTCCCAGCACACATCTCCCTCCAGGCTGTAGGATGGGCCGAAGGGCCAGTGCCACAGGAGGATGGTGAGGTTCCCTGTGATGACGTTGTGGCTTCTGTCTCTGTCAGTGTATAGACCCCACCCATCCTCATTCAGAAAGAACAATAGAGTGACCAGGCAGGTGATGCTGATGAAGAGGAAGAGCCTGAGATAGAATGTGGGGGATCCCATGGTAGAACAGGACCCTTGGTGGTCATCAGGGTTCTTTCACTGTTGGGAAATTAACAGAGAACACAGGATTTAGTTAATCTGTACACAGTAGCCCATTTACTGGCCTTATCACTCTAGTCATACTGTCAGTAGAACATCATTGCTTGGTCCTTTATCTGCATGCAAAATAAACCATTTTGTTCTCATTCTATTATGACACCTCCTGCCATCCATCCCATGGTATTATTAGACATACAGGGAGTGGTTGATTTGAAGTTATATAAATGGCTGAATGATTGTAGCTATGTATCTCCATGTGGCAGCTTGATGCACTTTTTTTTCTAATTTGGCACCATCTCTACCGTCTCAATTTACATGTTGGGAGTAGTCTTTGTCAAAGATGGGAGTGATCAGTTGGAGATGAATTTGTTTGCTACTGCTAAGAAATGCATGCTTTGTCATTGTTATGTTGGTTGTGTTGCGTGTTACATTTGACTTCCTGTATTATGGTTGTCTATCCCTCCCATGTCACTTTTGTCACTGTCTTCCTGTGATAAGGAAACTGGGTGTGTTCAGGGCCAGAGGATGACAGGATGAGACAGGAAGTTATTACACTGGTATCATAGTACATTGGTCTCAATGTTTGGCTTGATGAGAGCAATGGAGTTGGCAAGACCACAGATCAAGGACCAGGCTATTATTCAGCAGATAAGTTTGATAAACATTAGAATACACAGCTCATTAGGGCTACACCCCTTCTGAAGTGTCTTGTTTGTGCCTTCTTGTGTCAATGATTCAATGGATTATGGGTATGACCAGACCTGCTATAAATAATGGATTATCATCATCATTACTCACATATAGTACATTATATATTAACAGATACAGTATTGCTTCTGACAATGACCAATAATGACCCTACATGTAGTGTTATGGTTAGGGTTAGGGTTTAGCAGGGCCATGCACAGATCTTTTAGGCGGCAGGTGCTCAAAATGGGAAAAGAGGGTGGGCTACCAGCTCATCGTTGATGTTGATGATTGATGTAAATCTGCTAGTTAGCTAGCTCGATTTAATTTACTGATTGTGATTTACCGCTCTGTCTTTCTGCCTCCCTCTGCTGTGTGTATCAGCCAAACAGACCAAATATTGATGATGATGATGATGTAGGCTAACATCATCATCCAACAGTGCATTTATTTTTAATAAAAAAGTAAAATAAAACAACAGTGTTGACAAAAAAAGAGCAGAAGTAAAATAAAATAACAGTAGGGAGGCTATATATACAGGGGGGTACCGGTGCAGAGTCAATGTGCGGGGGCACCGGCTACTTGAGGAAGTTGAAGTAATATGTACATGTGGGTAGAGTTAAAGTGACTATGCATAAATAATAAACAGAGTAGCAGCAGCAGCGTAAAAGAGGGGGATGGGGTGGGGTGGGGGGACAGTGCAAATAGTCTGGGTAGCCATGATTAGCTGTTCAGGAGTCTTATGGCTTGGGGGTAGAAGCTGTTAAGAAGCCTTTTGGACCTAGACTTGGCACTCCGGTACCGCTTGCCAAGCGGTAGCAGAGAGAACAGTCTATTAATAGGGTGGCTGGAGTCTTTGACAAATCTGACACCGCCTGGTATAGAGGTCCTGGATGGCAGGAAGCTTGGCCCCAGTGATGTACTGGGCCGTACGCACTACCCTCTGTAGTGCCTTGCGGTCGGAGGCCAAGTAGTTGCCATACCAGGTGGTGATGCAACCAGTCAGGATGCTCTCGATGGTGCAGCTGTATAATTTTTTGAGGATCTGAGGACCCATGCCAAATCTTTTCAGTCTCCTGAGGGGGAATAGGCTTTGTCGTGCCCTCTTCACGACTGTCTTGGTGTGTTTGGACCATGATAGTTTGTTGGTGATGTGGACACGAAGGAACTTGAAGCTCCCAACCTGTTCCACTACAGCCCTGTCGATGAGAATGGGGGCGTGCTCAGTCCTCTTTTTTTTCCTGTAGTCCACAATCAGCTCCTTTGTCTTGGTCACGTTGAGGGAGAGGTTGTTATCCTGGCACCACACGGCCAGGTCTCTGATCTCCTCCCTATAGGCTGTCTTGTCGGTGATCAGGCCTACCACTGTTGTGTCGTCGGCAAACTTAATGATGGTGTTGGAGTCGTGCCTGGCCATGCAGTCATGGGTGAACAGGGAGTACAGGAGGGGACTGAGCAC